GCACCTTATCCTGTTTGATATTTTTAATATACTTTTTATACACCTTCTGATAGTTTTTAAAATCATCAATAAGTTCAAAATTGGACTTACAACTATCATGTAAAGCTTCTTCAAGTTTCACTTCTCTAATACTTCCAAGACGATGTCTTTTTGAGTCAATATCTCGCAATATATATATATTAGCCATGTATTTTTCAGCTTAGCTATATTTAATAAAAATAACATATTACAGATATTATCAATAATAACATATTATAGATATTACGAATATTATCTATATTATTAATATTACTGGTATTATCAATAATAGCATTATGGATATTATCAATATTACTGATATTATCAATATTACTAGTATTATCAATAATAGCATTATGGATATTATCAATATTACCGATATTATCAATAATATCAATAATATTATTATTAGTATTTTTTTTATCAATATTACTGATACTATTAACAAGACTATGCGATTTGATGCAATCAAACTATCACCAGATGACTAAATATATTATGCAATACAAAGATGCAAAATCCAAACCTTTAGAGATGCTTAGAGATAAATATCTTATATCTAATACCCATTTTTATCAGATATGAAAAGGAAAAGAAGTTTGTACAAATGTTTAGAATTCATATTTAGCTGATTCGGAAAGTGATATTTCTATACTTATAGTTGTGGAAGAGACAAAAAAAGAGAAAATCCAAGTTCAAGTCTGCACATATTTCTGATTAATACTCTGTTAGTAAAGATTCAACTGAAAAGGTAGACAAAATATTAGAAGCAAAAAAAAAAACTATACTACCTGAAACCTCACAAAAAACTGAAGATCCTTTAGAATTCTATAGAAGAACACAAGAGGAGGCTAAAAAGATAAGAGCTGTTGTACATGCTGATATTTCTAAACTATCTGCTCCTATTTCAAAAGCTTAGAATTAATATAACTAATTTTTGCTTTATATTGATTATACAAAGTATTATAATATCTAATAAATTCTAAATTAGTTTG